CGCTTTGAGTAAATCTGTTCTAAATCTACATAAAAACACATAAGAAAACACAGAAATCATACAATTCCATAGAGAAATCCTGAAAAGGGATATTAACATTACCACAAATTATTCTAACAATATGATGATACCTGAACTTTAACTCAAACACTGCCCCTCAAAATAATGACACCCAAACCACAGGAGGTCAAAATATTTCATCCCCCTCAATTTGAGATTCACAAAGATAACGATCTGCTCAATCTTTCTCTTCAAGATGCTAATTTGAAGGAAATGGATCATAAATTGGTCATGAATAAAAAGGCTTTACTTATTAGAGAATAAGAGTTCCAACATGGGTTTCCCTCATTAGTTTGCGATCGGGCTGCCTGTGTAATGAGTCCGCACTCTGTTACTCACACATAATTGATCTCACAGGACTTCACATTGCCCTTGTCCTCATCTGCAATATCATCTTTACGCTTGACCTCTCGGTCCGCACTTGATCTGATCTGGAGAGAGCAGAAAAAAAAATAAACCAAAAAGAGATTAAATTTCAATACCTGGAGTCCCCTGAAGTGAGGGGGTCACAAACATTTTCAAGAGTCAGGTCGTCGCAGAGATCACAAGCTTAAAATGAACGGATTAACATGCAACCTTGTGGATAAACACACGATTTACACATCACCTTCAACATCTCGCCGTCCCCCGCACTCTTGTTCTTGGCAACAATGTCCCCGCTGTCACTGTAGGAGATGAAACAGCTATTTGCTGCCATGAGAGCCATTTTGTCCTGAGGCAGAACAGAGAGGAAACAGAGGAGAAGGCAGTAGATTAGACAGAATTGCAGTGGGATTGGTTGGAAGGTCTCCTGATATTCGAGGTTGTGCCAGGCCTGTTGTTTATAGGTTCAACAAAGCATCAAGGTGAGCAACGCGCTGCAGTGTTAAGTGTTAATGAATTAGCTGCTCATGGCTACAGCAAAGTGTTTCTCTCACAGGCTGAACTCCAGTCCACCCTGAGGCGAGATGCGAAAGGCAGAGGAGCCCTTACATGATACATCCCAAATATAAAACATTTGTATTGATTCAAATTTCAAACATCAATTACTGGTCACATGAGCCTTCACACAAATCAAACATTTGCCTACACAAATAGGTTAATTTAGTAAAGTACTTACGGGCATTTATCACTTTTCTTCTGACATGAATTATTGAGCTTGATATTTAAATATCAGTTGCAGCTGTAGGTATCTGTACTTTCCCCAAACCGAGTTAACTTTTATAAAAATGTTGCTTCGTCCAACAAATTTAGTTTTATATCATCATCTGGTTATATGAATTACAACAAATTCAACTTAACACAGATAAAACATTTGTAAATAATGCACAGGTGTCGCGGAATTTGAATCTTTGCCCTGACTTTGTAAGTAATGTCACTGCAAGAAATATTTGCTTAGTGTCTGGTGTGAAGTTTATCTCCTGTACTCAGTGAGAAAACTTTGACAATATGAAGAATTCTAATTATAGTTTGTTGTATTTGTTACAGTGGCAGCTCTTCTGGTTCAGGAAGCTGGGGATCATGGGTAATTTCCACGAGCGTTCCAGTTCAGTAAGTGGGACGACGCAGTCAGAGCTGCTGTCAACACACAGACTGTTTTTTTCTCTACATGAAATCCACTTAACCTCACAGACACAGAGCCCAACAGATGAATCAGCACATGTGGCTGCAGAGGGCGCTGTTGCTCAATACAAGTTACACAGTGTTACTTTAACTGATGGCCTCATTAGATCACGACGGCAAAATAAGGAAACATTTAAAGATTCACTCACATCCTGGAAGACTGGCTCCCATTGTTCCCTGGCACCAATGGCATCAGAGCGGCCCACCACCAAACCCTCAGAGTTGATGCCAAGGTATTTGCCATATCCAGACTTCAGGGCTATTCTGCAACAGCAAAAAGAAATAAAAAAAGAAATTCACAATTTTTCCGTGGCCCCGGAGGAGAAAACACAAGGTCTGCTAATCTAATGTTCGTAACGTCATTAGCTTTTCCTGGAGAGTGACAGGAAAGGTGAAACCACCACACGAGAAACAGATCTCTGACAGACAGAACCTCTTCAAGGAGACGCCGCTCGTGGAAGCATGAATTACTTTTCTGCATCTAGACGATACAAACAAATCCTTCATAGAAAATGCATAAGTAGGGTAATAAATCTGCAGGAGGAGGACTATCTGTGGATGCAAACACACAGTTTGTGTACTCACCGTGTATCAGAGACTTTGATGGCAGTAAACTGCTCTGGAGGGTCGGGTCCTTCATCATCTGAAACACACAGAACGAGTTCAACCTTTTAAGTGTTTGTTTGCTTTTCACATTTCTGTGAAAACTGTCATCTTCAACTGTTAGTTTTTCCATTTGCTTTATGTCATATTGTGATTTCTGACTAATCACTTATTTTCAGTTTGTTCGTTTTAAATGTTTGACTTTTGTTTAGCACATTCATCTTCCTGTGTACACGTGAGACCCATACGAGACAGTGAACTCCTCTCACCGGACTTATTTTATAAAATTGAATTAGTGTTATATATATTTCAACGTCAATGTGAGAAAAAAAGTTAAAATATTCTCTGATGCAAGATCTTTGACTTGTTACCCGATTTTTCAGTATTTCACAGAAATGCCACACAAGAAAGATAATGCAGTGTTGAATTAATTACTGTGCAAGAATCATATACTGTAAAATGACCATAAATTCTTCTCAGATAGAGATTATCCTTCACACCAGTTCCATATTTTTTTAAACATTCAAACCCTCTGGCTATGCAGCGCTGTGCAGATCTCGGACCACGTCGTGATATGGAAGCTGCTGTGTTGCATTTAAATGCTTTGTTTTAAATACTGAGGTCTCCTGGGCGCCCTGTGATTTCATAAAACTGTGACCTGCCTGTGATCGGGTCACTTCCTCACTTTTAGGATGCATCAGAGCGTGATACGGGCATCTGGTCGAGGAGGAGCAGAGTCGACTAGACATTAACGCAAGAAGAATTGAAAAGCAGGAGTAAAATATGATATAAGCTGCATTTCAAAAAGGCTTATTATCTGTTGTATACACTTCAGAGAGTGACCCTCAGATTTGGCTGAGAGACCCTCAGCGTTTTTTCTTTTGACCTGCAGGTGAACAAGAGCGTTTTTTTCCAGCTTTCTCAAAGGCTGCATCGTGCACACTGTGCTGCTGGTGCAGAACATCCAGTAAAGAGGGGAAATCTATAATCTCTCTTTCTATACTGCTAGCTTGCCTTCTCTTTCATCTCCTAGAAACAAGCTTATGTGCATGCAGATGACGAGGACCCACTAAGGGAGTTGGGATGCTTCAATCTCTGAAGCGTTTTCACTGGTTCTCACAAAACGTGGGCTGAATTAATTGTGAATAGCGTCTCTCTCTCTCTCTCTCTTCCCGGGCAGACTGGTGCAATGTGAACGCAGCAACACTCCCTCAGAAGTGCCCCAAGGCAGGAGTGGGTGAAAACTCTGAGTTAGCTCCGTCCTTCCCCTCAAGTCAACCCTGCTTTGCAGTCTGGTGTCTGGATTTGGGACTCAACGCAAATACCCCCCACTTTATCCCCCAACACCTGAAGCCTCAGGGTCCGCAGTATTTCTTGTCTACAATATTGTCCTAACTGTTTTAATTATACATGTTATCCAATATGTCATTCACTTTGCAAAAACCAATTAAAAACACACCTTTAGAGTCTCTGCTGTAACCTAGTAGTGAAGACAACTGCACCGCTTGCCTCATAATGTGCATTGTTAGATTTAATTGTTCATCTTTACTCACATGGACATGCCTTGGCTTTAAAAAGACGGATGCTTAAAAGATGGTAATTACTTTCTCCATTAATTGCTTTGTGTAAAACATGTCAAGAAATATTGAAAAATGTTCCACAGCCCGGAGCGATGTATTAAAATCATCTTGTTTTTTATTTTATCTCCCTTAATAAATAATGACCCTAAAGGATGATTGTTAGTTTTTAATTAGAGATTGTGTTGAGTCATTACAGGGAAAACATTTTTTAAAATGGTAACACAACATCATTATATCATCACAATCACATGTGATGGACAATGACAGTGAGTTACTCCCCAGGCAGTGATGTCTGTGACATACAAACATAAGCAGGGAAACTCATGGAACTCCAGTAGAAATGCACATGGAATTACTAATAAAGGAATTATATGATCCAACCAACACAAACTGATCAAACAGTATCAATCAAAATGAATTCTTACAGTAGTTGAAGTTGTTATTAAAGCACAAAACATTCATGGGAACCTTAGTATAAACTGCATTGCGTTGAGAAACATCTATTTCATTCTGTGATTACACGATATATATACATAACTGACTTGCTTACCTTTGTGCGGTGCACCGACTGTGAAAAGTCCAGTATCCACGGCATGGATGTACGAGTTGTTCTGCATTTCTATCGCAACCATTCCCGTAATTTCTCCAAAGTTGTTGACTGACCACCACCCATCTGTTGAGCCGAAACAACCAGGTCAAAATGTGCAATGACACGTCATCACTGTTTGCTTTAAAGTCACAAAAACATGAAGGTGTGATCTCCACACAGAGGATTTCTTCTTTTTTTTTTTTTTGCAGTAAACTGTGCTGATGTAAGACATGAGCTGTGTTTAGGATTAGAGTTTTTGAAAATCTTGATTTGGATGCTTCCTCAGCTGAAACCCTGTTTACCTCAGGGTGGAGGATTACTTGTAGCTGGTTCTTCAAATTTTTGTGACAAACGTGAGCAAAAATTATAATATAGCCCCTAAAGGTTTGGCAGTGTCATTAAAACAGTGAACATCTCTTCATGCAAAATCCAAATACAGACAGTGTTCATAGAGTGTCCATAGACAACAGCTACATTTAATGCATTGTTGATCTGGTGAAAAACTGTTGGTATCAGGCTCATATCTATAAATACTAAGAGTTTATGACCATGAAATTGTTTCTCTGTTAATAATTCAAACTTTCCCAATTACACACGTTAAAATAAATCTATGTGGTCGTGAAAAATCAGAATGGGAATATTGGCTCCACATGTGCAAAAGTTGTGTAAAGACATTTTATCAAACGTCTCTAACTGATTTTCTCTCATAACAAATATAAATGTCCAAATAAAGTAGATAAACACACCAACGACATCAGGTTTTTGTTCATCATCTGTCGCTTTTCTTTTCTTATCCTTGTGCTTTCTCTTTTTCCTGTGAAGAAAAAAAAATATTGCAATCACGTCAAATGCTAATTCAAGATGTGGCTGTCAAATGTTAGATTACACAGGTTGACCTTGTAAAATAATATATATTCAGACTCGGGCGCTGCCGTTCCAGGGAACAGGTGAATATATTTTCCTTGAAATGCATCTGCAAGGCTCTGGATATCCAAACCAAATCAATGAAATCATTCAAATTTCATCACGAATTAAAGTTTTACAACATGAACTCCAGGAAAACCTCGACTCTTAGGACTCTTAATACATTTTGTGGAGCTACAGCGTAAAATTCAAAGGTTTTTTTTGTGTGTGATACATGAAAATAAAATCATCACAATGAAACAAATGAAATTTAAGTTGAATGTTATGGATTTATAAGCAAATAACAATTATATGAAGAATTGTGTGACTTTAATTTTGATAAGCTGTTCAAAGTGGTGACAATTTATTTATGAATAAATACACAATAATTATATAAGAAGTTTACATAAGTACAAATACTTTCTATTTGTCATAACAATGGAGTCTGCTGTAATCTAACATCATTCTGCAACTTCTAGATTATTTCTCTGTGATCATATTTTACCTCAGAAAAATAAAAGGACCCCAGTTCTACTACTAATATCACAAATAATTAATAACATAACAATATTCCATTCAACATTTTAAGGACAAATCATTGTTTGTTTGTCCAAAATTGAATGATGGTTGAGATGTTAGCTGTTAGCATTAGTGCCAGTGTGTTAGCTCGCCTCGGACAGCAGACTGAGCTCCACAGTCTGTGAAAAGCTTTTGAACAATCGCTGAGTTGATACTGAGCTGCTAACACTTTCAACTTTTAACCAAGTGTCTGATCGCACACAGAAAAAGTAAAGTTCATCGCAGCCTCCTCGTTCTCAACTCTGCTGCTGTAGCTAGCTAGCTCGCTAGCACAGGTTGTTGACATCCACTCGGTTAGCTCGTAATAAAGATGGAGGCTGCGGGGACGCGTGCTGCTCAGTGAGGAGACGAACTCACCCTTTGTTGAGACCCTTCAGAACCAGTTTGGTCGATTTCACGTGTGAATATTCAGCCATGCTCTGCACCGAGCCTGGAGGTTAGCAGGTTAGCAGGTTAGCACAGCTAGCAAACACCGAGGGCTACTACGGTGGTCGCAGAGGGACATTCAAACTCCAAACCCGTTCACCGAAAGGGCGATTTCATAACAAGGGTACAGTAGAGTACTAATCTCTTTATATACAGTCTATGGTACTAATACAGATGTACTCTATCGCAGGTACTGCAAGAGTACAAGTAAAGGGATAATATTTAGTGTAAGGAAGAAGAGTATTATTTCCGCAGATATTAGTCTCGTGCAAATGATGTATTGTAAGATATTAAATTTAATAAAACTGATGCATCCCTGTGTGACCAGTGTTATACTGGTTTTGTGCATGGTGAGATAGTTTGATCCAGTGGTTCCCAATAGGGGGGAGACATAAACACTTTCTTCTGAGTCTTACAGCAGATAGATAAGAGGCGAACAACAGAGATATTACAAAATAGAATAAAAATCTGAAATAAAAAATACAGATACATACTTATTACCCACCCTTCACTACAGATAGAATACCATGAGCAGGAAGTAACTAGACATTAAAACTGTCAAATAAATCTAACAGAATAAAATATATAGCATAACAAGTACCTCAGAAGTTCTTAAGTACTTGGTGCAGAATATGAACAGAAATACCTGCACTCTGCAATACAATACAACATGTCACTGTCATAATACCAGTCCTGTAACATTATAAAACTATTTGACTTGTGTTAATACAAATGAAATGGAAATTGTTCTGTAGTAATTATTACAACTGTAGTTTGTGATGAAATCGTAATTGAATGCTTGGATTCCATTGTGTCCCCAACGATTAGTTTTCTTTCAGATCACACGAGCTCACCCATAGTCCTCCCCAGTCCGCATACATTTCACAACCTGGCCTGAAGAGCGGTGTCCTCATATAACTGTTGATGCTAATATCGTCTCATTAAACAGGAATGGTCCAATCAGGGCCCTGCGACAGGAGGCGATAAATCATTTGAAGACACTGTCAAGAAGTAAAACAAATTAGACAGAGGCTTGTGTTTTCTGCCCGCTGCAGTAAAACTCACCTGGTAAGAACTCCATCATCTGACAGAGAGGAGAGAAAAGTGAGTGATGAAAATCTGATGAAAGCTGCTCAGAACCAGGCAGATTTACCAAAACAGAACACGTCATGACTGACGCAGGAGGGAAACTACAGTAATACCCCAGCGAGAGTCCTGATGCTGCTGTCCCCGGAGAAAAGAAAGTTTGAGTCAGACAGTTTGGAAGCTTAATCTGGTCAGAAAAAGTCCTGGGAGCTTTGAGGAAGTTGGCCAGAGGGGTTTTCAGAAGTCATGATTCAACATTTTCCCCCTGAGCTGTATTTGTGCTCTGGTCGTTTGTCAAATTCAATGATGCTTTGACAGCAATCCCTGTTGTTGATGGGATTTAGCAGTCGTAACTTGTTCTGAGGAAGCTGAGTGGTTAAGCCCATAAGTATTTAGAAAGAGCTGAAGGAAGACAGCGTCAAGCAAAGTGCTGTAACTCACACAGCACCTGATACAGAGAAGCTACAGCAGCATCTGTCTTCAGGCTTTTAATATAAACACAGTACTTTCTGTTATAGAACCTTTTATCGGGAGTTGATGGTGGAAGTAAATGTTAATAAATTCTGTACTGGTGAGTTACACATCACTTTTAAAGCTGCTAGAACAACATTTGTGTTGCTGTAGCAGGCTTCCATTTGGTGGTGCATTTCGTCTACTTGTTAGGGTGTATATGTTTGGAAATACACTTTACACAGATATAAAGAATATATATATTTGTGTTTTTTCATCCCTAACATCCATCCATCCATTATCTATACTGCAGTTCCTGTGTGGCCGAATGAACCAAGACTGGAATTCTAAGCATCACATTTTTAACGTTCGCAAAACAGCTGCAATGCTAAATACTAAATTTAGAAGAGTCCTTGAGTTCACAGTATATCTACTATGGTGGTTGACAATATTAGCCACAATAAGGTAAAGGCCACCCAAAGCCAAGTATGGCTCAAAGATTCCTGAATGTCTAAAATAGCGTTAACATTTTTAAGTTGTTCATAAATTGATTTTATGCATTGAGTGTTTTGCAGCTCTTTTCCAGACTTCAGTGGTCGGACAGTCCTTTATTAAATGAAGTTAACAATTAAGTTGTTCTTGGTGACAATATCAAAAAGATCCAAGTATCTTGTTCATGTGTTGAGCGTCCAATGAAAGTGACATCCTGAATTTAATGTCCAAGCAGAATAACATTTCAGAAAAGGACAGAAAAAGAAAATCAGCCACTAACTTCCTGTCCTGTACTTCCTGTCATATATTTATCGCCTCGCAGACGCATCACAACATCACTAATCCCCAACAAAGAAAAGTTTGACGGACTGAAAATCCTCCTCACAACACGTGGGACGATGCAAGTGATGCAAATAATAATCAAAGAGTATTACCCGTGGTCTAAATGTTAGATCTGTCATCTGGTGAAGGATGAGTTAATCCAGCAACACTCCCATGTCCTTTGTGTCTCTCATGTCCTTGTTAAAGTGCTTTTTGTCTAACAAGTCTGCCTGCTCCATTAGCTGCCTCTCAACTGTGAAAAAGCACATCTATCATCCTCCTGCATGCACAGTACGAAAGCCCACACCAGCGCTGACAAGGAATTAACTCATTCTCGTGGAGGTGAAATCTTCCTCGTGTTTGTTTTGTCTAAAAATTTTGCATAAAACAAATTATGACAAAGTTCATTTTTTATCTCATTTGAGGTTTTACTTTTTAATCAGCCCATTGGTCCACTGACTGATTGCCTGGAGCCATTCATGGTTTTCAGAGGATACATCCCAATTCATCTAGTGAAACTTAAACTTTTTTACGTAGCATGACTTTGAGTAAAGAATCAGAATTCTTAAGAACACAACACAAAGAAACCTACTCAGAAGGAAACATTGGGAAACACAGGAGAGAGCTCAGCAGAGACCACACAAGAGGATCTGGTGAAGAAGAGGAGGAGCGTGAGCTGGTGTATTTATACACACTGACTGATTGGTGATGAGGTGAAGGTGTGGTGAGAACCTGACGACATGGCAGGAAGTGAAGCTGCAGACCATGAACAGAGGGAAAACCACAATAAAACAGGAAGTGACAAATAAACATTAAGCGGTGTTCCATCTGGTTTGCATGTCCCCCCCCTGTATCTGCAGGTATTCAGGCAGGAGCCACCTGAGCCAGCGTGACATGCTCCCCACTGATCACAATTTGCCAATGTGGATTTCAGGCAGCCCCCTATATTGAGTCAAAACTAGGTATTTATGACTCATGCATGTATGTATGGGTCCGATGAACAAAGCAGACATATGGTGAGGGTTCACTTTTCCTCGAGAACTTGGTTTTCTTTGCAAAATTCAACAAGAAGTGTCTCCAATCCCAAAAAGTATTTAGTTTTAGGTTAAATGAATAAAACTATTCTTGAGGATGTTCTTGAGTTTGTTCGTATAGGTGTGAATGTGAATGGTTGTTAGTCTCTGTACGGCGGCTCTTTGATACCTGTCCAGGATCCTTCCTCACTTCTCCTCCACGTCAGCTTTGATTGGCTCCAGCCCCAAGAGAATAAGCGTTATAGAAAAAGTCAGTGCTCAGCCCTTTTAGAAACCTTGGTAGTCATCAACTCAGATCTTAAATTAAACAGCCACATTAACACAGTTACAGAGTCATCTCATTACCACCATAAGAACATATCAAGGATGAAAAGGACTTAAGTCTCAACAGGATTTAAAAAAAACCTGTCCATGCATCTTTATCTTCAGCCGACTTGAATATTGTAACGTTGTTTTGACAGCTCTCTCAAAAAAATCGATTGGAAAGCTGCAGCTTATTCAAAACGCTGCCGCTCGAGTCCTCACTAACAACGAGAGAGTGGATCATATCTCTCCAGCTCTGAGATCTTTACCCTGGGTCCCTGTCCGTCAAAGAATTGACTTCAAAATCCTGCTGTTGGTTTATAAAGCTGAATTGTTAAGGGTCTCCTGCTACGTTAGGAACCATCCAGACCCCTCAGGTCGTCTGGAACCGGTCTGCTGTCTGTCCCCCGGGTCAAAACTAAACATGGAGAAGCAGCGTTCAGTTTAAATCAACGCTATTTTCATTCTTATTTTATCCTGTGATTAAAGATTTTAATTTATTTTTAAGTGACAATTTGTCGTGGTGCCTTTATATTCTATGTGAAGCACTTTAAATTGTCTTGTTGTTGAAATGTGCTCCACAAATAAACTTGCCTTGTCTAAGCGATGAAAGATGATAACTTCACATCCTCACACAGTGGGAATCTTTAATTGGGATCACAACTGGAGAACAAAAGCTATCTTAGGAAACGTAACATTAAATGGCTCCTGCTTGTCGTTATGTTGTAAGAGCTAATGAAATGTCTTCTGACGTCCTTCCCACGTCGTCTAATTACTCCTCTCGGTTGTATCGTTTGTACCTCTCTCTCCCCTCCCGTGCCTCTTTCTGTTGTTTTTCCATTTTCATCCTTCTCTTAAAAAACTTTTACCCACGAAGTCACTCCCGTCTCCCCTCTCCTCACCTCACCCCTCTCGCCCTCCAGCCCCTGACCCCCTGCCGTCCCACATCTGTCAGTTATAATCCTCCTCCGAGGATTTAGGTGATGGGGGGGGGGGTTAAGTTGCTGACAGTGTGAAGCAGGTGTTTTTTTTTCAAGTGGCAGCTTGCTGTTACATTGCACTATGGCCACACTCTCACTTTGTCAATGTCACCGTTCCTTCACATCGTGTTTCCTCCGCTGGTTTCTGACGCGTGTTTGTTGCAGGTTTGCAAAGGTTTAAGATGTGGACATCTGAGAGCGGGAGGCAGATGAAGATGGATCGAGCGGCTCCACGCCCCCGGGGCCGCCTACTTAAAAATGGCGTAATGATGTAATTTCCTGACTGAGAGGGACGCTGGGGAGGAGACGGAGATGTCGGACAGGTGGGGAATTTTAATGTATGACCTATTTAAGCCATTAAGCCCGTGTGATGTTACTTAGGTAAGATGTGAAACAAAT